AGGTTTACTGATTTACAATGGTATTTGTTCGAAAGCTAAATATTCGCAACTATCGATTCAAAGTTAAACGAAACAATTTACGAGGAATGTGAAAAAGCATATAGAGCTTGATGCAAACGTATTTTGATTTTGACGAAGGATTGCAAAATTAGGTGTAATATTCCTTAATACGAAGAAATGCCTTGAAGAAACGTTTAAATTATTGATTGGCGCGTAGAGGAAGTAATTTTATACGTACATAAAGTGAAGAAGAATTTTTTTCTAGAATCAAAACACTTCCAAGTAATGTTGTTGAAACTGTCATGGCGCCCTTCGTCCAAGCAGCTGCTAAGCAAAACTCGAAGGAATAATTCCATTTTCCTTAGACATAATACAACGAGTCACAATTAGTGGTTAAAGATCGTCAACAAGCCTCATCAGAAAAGCCAGATCAAATAAAATGGGCGTGTATTATTACCATTGGATTCAAATGGTTTATTTCAATGTTTATTATTACCAGGAATCCACGTTTGAGGAAGTGGAGGTAAGGTAAGCATGATCGATCGAACCGGCATCGATATTGTTCAAGGATCGAGCGAACGATGTGTTTGGATTAGATCAAAATCTCATTGATAATCAACACTGAAACGTGGAAGAATTTATAATAATGATAAAAGAAATAAAACGAAGTATAATTCGCATAAATTTATATTATCGTTAATCAATCGATTACATCGTGTCTAGAAAATAATTAGACATGATTCTATTCATTCTAATTACACGCATTTCGTAATTATAACAATTGAACGGATATCGTTCTTCTTGCACTCCGTCGTTAATTATTTGTAATATTATATAAAAACTATTTACAAATTTTTAAATTTAGTTATTTAAAATTTGTATTCTCGATTCAGTATATCGATATATATGGAAGAATTTAATATTTTCAAAATGAGATTATTGTTATTGTTCATTAACTTTTAAAAATCAAAGCTTACTATTATTTTTGCTCGTGAATTTTGATGATGATTTAACGATGATGTATGGATAATTTGATCATTTTAATTCATGCTATAAAAAAAGAGAGAAATTCAGAAATAACTTTTCCAAAAATAAAAAATTTCAGATTCTACGATCAAAGTATTTTTTATATATTTTTTTCATTAAACTTAATTTTACAATTTTCATCATCTATCATATGCCACGCGATTACGTCTTTTTTCAAACGATATAATGACACATGAACCGTTCAAAGAACGATTTTTTCAAATGAATGAGCAAGGTGTAGATAGGTAGGAGTATCCTCATTTGGAAGATCGAACATCTAATAAGGATAAAAGAATTCAAGGTTCGCAAGTGGTTCGCGCAGCTGGATAAGATCCATGGCCAGATTGTCTCGAAATCACGTGCGCCAATCGAAGGAAAAGAAAGAAAGAGAAAATATCGAGATATAATGGATTGTCACGACATTTTATTCTTATCGATCGTTATGAGAAAATAAATCAGTTGCGCAACATTTTAGTTGTTACCGATCAACAGGTTCAATACGAATTATTATCAGACGAATTATCGGCAAGATTTTATTTCAGATCGATCGTATCTTTGTTTCAGACATTTTTTTTTTTTAAATAAGGGATAAGAAATTCATTCAGAAATTGAAATACAATTTTATTTAATATCAAATAATACGAAGCGAAAGTAATATGAATTTAATATTTCTATTCCATATAAAAATAATCTCTTAATAGAGAAGTTGAAAAAGATAATAGGTTATTATATCAAAAAAGAAAAAAAAATTACTTTTATTAATGGATATTGATCAAGAATATTTTAATTATTCTTGAAATGTAATATTTTCAATTCCATTTTAGAAATAGATCTGCTCGATTGAAAACTGATTTGAAATTATTTCTTGTTGTTTTGAAAAATTTGAAAAGTTAATTATTGAGTAATTATTACAAATATTGTGCAAGATTATTATTATTCTCTATTATGGTTATTTGATAATTATTCAATCCTGAGATAAAAATATAAATAAACGACAAGAAAGTAAGAGAATACAAGTTTCGTTGAGCTTATATTCATAGATTATTTCATTCAAATATATTTATCAATAATCATCGTCACTTTCGTCAACGTAAATTTATTCGTAAAATACGTAAATTGTTCCATTGCGAATTATAATAAGGAAATATCATTGAAAGGTGCAATTACAATGTTATAAAAAAAAAAGAAACGTCAAATAATGAGTTTCAGTTAAGTATGTCCTTCTGAGAACACTGCGGAAATAACATTAATATCGTGGCCATGTTACTCAGAATATAATGCAACTGTTTTACGTTATCAAATTTAGAAGAAAAGCATTGATAAATCGAAAGATTTATTCGAGAAGAAATAAATTTATTTTTAAAAAAATGATTCCACGTGTTTACAATATAATATGTACAATTATATTAACATTCGAACTCTTAAAAATACATTATTACATGTCAATCTCTTTTCAAAATAAAAATGAACAGAGAAAATTTGTATTACTCGTAGAATATTTATTAATACTATTATATTAAAATAATTTTTATATATTTTTATATTGTATCAAAACATTTTTTCAAAATAAAAAATTCAGAGATACACGTTCTAATACGATAAAATAAACAAATATACAAATCGTATACGAGTAGCTATCCTTCGCCATGCAAATGAATATACATTACTCGGTATTCAATATTTCCTTCCTGGAAGTTAAGTGAAAAAACGAGTTAAGTGAATCACTCGCGCTGTAGAAACAGGTGATCACCCGAGGCATTTAACACGATCAGGGATCATTATCCAAGAAAAATCAACCATCCTATCCCTGGACCAGAAATTGTACAGAAATCGAACTTTAAGGTCGTATCGATCCCCCCTCCTCTTCCAATCGTATAATAGTCGATCGTCCCTTCCGTTTTCCGTGGATCACGTTTAGTTAATTAACGTTAACAACGGTTAATTCACGAAGGATACCGGATACATTGTTAAAAACAATTTATTACGCGTGACGTACGATCGATCGCGATAAAAAAAAAAGAAAAAACACGCGCGAACTTGAAAATAAAAATTTCGTGGCGTAATAAAATGTTGAACGAGCAAAAAAAAAAAAAAAAAAAGCGGCCACGACAAAATGCATCGGGTTCTGCATCGACGAACAATTTGAATGAATTATCAATTATCGACGTTTAATTATACCGTGATCGGTATGCAGATATGATTTCTTCTATTCATTCTACTACGACTCTGTGTTATTCTTATGCGATATCATAACAATTATTTTACATGAATTGCTAGAAGGGAGGGGGAAGGGATTGTCGATTGCGTAACGGAGTATAGATCGATTTAAATCTTGTTGACAATGATGCGATGTATCGTGTAATTAATTGTAATTTAAAAAGATTGTTTTCTGCGGAATTATTAGATATATAAACTAGGAGGAAAAAATCATTCGTCGAATATTCGATGAAAAAGGAGAGAGAGAAAAAAAAGAAATCCCCTTTTCAGAAAGTAAAATCGCGATTTGTTTCAGTTTCAACTCGATCCTTATCTGATTGGTGTAATTGTGTTGGTGTAATTGAACGTCGAGTTAAAGAATACTAATGTTCACGGTGCTGTGCGAAATAGAATTCGTTTTTCGATCGTTCGTTGTCCGCCATTATCTGATCGTGTCAATGAGCACGGTGAATAGAATCGTGGATTGATCCGATCAAGATACCGAAAAGAGAAGTTACACGGATGTTAAATTTGTTTTAAAATGATAATTATTGAAAGTTATAGTGCTTTGTCTCTCTGCCCGTAATTGAAATGATACAAGTGTTTCTAGATGTGTGTTATAATCTAAGAGAGGAATTATTTTTAAAGTTATATTATAAAATTTTCTTTTTCTATTTTTTGTAATTTTGTTGACTTTTCAGATATTTCAATAAATATACTTAATTGAAATAGATAATTGAAATAGAAAAATAATTAGAATTATTTCAATTGTTATGAATATTTTAAAAAAATATATGGGTCTGTAAAAGAAAAAGAAATATGTTCATAATTTTGAGTAGTATATTTTGTTGCTATTCAATTAAAAAATGTTTATTTATTTTATTTACATTCAAGATTTTTGAATTTAATAATATTTTTTTAGTAATAAAATTTTAAATTTAAAAAAATAAATCGATAATCGATGTCAAATAACAACGAATTCAAAGATTATTTGACAAAGAAATAAAAAATTTTTAATTTTATTTCAGATAAAAGGAATACTTGAATATTAACATAAGGGATAAAAAATTATTTCATAAGATACATAACATTATATATAAAAAATATATCGACGTGAAAGAAAGATATTCACACGTATAATTAATTATAAAAAATATATGTAATGTTATAATTAAACGCATCTATTTACTTTTATCATTAATGAAATAAAATTATCTAGTAAGATTTATATAGCAATACTGTATACTAACAATATATTCATATGACACATGCATGTATGGTCAATTTTAAAAAGTTTCGAAATCATCGAATCAATAGAATGCTACGTTAAAAAGAACTTACCCATTACTCATCTTCCTAAGAAAATAAAATTATCGTATAAATTATATATTGTACACGTATATGTATAAAAAATATAACAATATATGTCTTTTCCTTAATTTCTGGTATTCAACTTGATTATACAGAAATTAATAATCACTAAGGATAATTACAAGTATAGAGATAAAAAAAGATAATTCTCAGTATTGGAAACAGAATTAAGAATCTTAACCGAGATTCTTATTCTGATTCGCAGAACGAAAAATAAATTATTTTATCGACTAGATGTCTTCTTAAAAATTCTGGATATCGTAATCTTATTATTATTCGAGGATTTCAAAAGTCAAGTCAGCATAAATAACATCTCTCGTTATTTAAACTTTCAGTTGATTGGTATCAATTAAATAACTATTTCTATAATCTAGTAATTTAGAAAGTTTAAACAATAAAGAGATTTTTTTGTTTTCTTCTTACTTTAACTTTTCCACAAATTCATCCGAAACATTTATTCGTGGAAATATTTTGTCCGAGGATTCCTGCCCCGAATCATTCTGCATCCTCGAGTAATCGGAGATTTGAATACGAGGAATCGATCTTCTCCGCGATTCGAATTTAAAAATGGACGAATCCTCGAACCTTTGACGAAAACTTTTGAAGAAATTCATCCCGAGGCATTCGTAAAAGGATGTGTCCCTACGAGACGCTTCGTTGCTGGATTGCTGACGGTGAAAACCGATGGAAATAATCGAGGTCTCGTTGGTCTTTACAACGGACGTCGATATCCCTTTGCACTCGATGAAATCCAACACCTCCGACTCGTCCATCCTTATATCCCTGATCGTTATGTCGCAGATTGCTTTCGGCGATCGCTTCGAATTTTCCCCGATTTCTTCTTGGCGAGCTTCGTTACGATTTTTCGAACCATTCGCGCTTATTCTTGTCGACGTGGACGCGTCGACAAGTCGCCTCTTTCTCAGCATCGTCGAATACGCGAGTGGAGAGAGCTGATTTCCAACCCTCGTAGGAATGTTTTGCGCGTCTTTCTCTGATCTGGAAATTTTTGCAATGTGTGTAAGATGGTGGATAATATGAATTGGAAACAACGGATAATAATAAATCGTTAGAGTTTTTGATACAAGAGATATAATAAAAAATCAAGTTTTCGATTTTCTTAAATAATTAAGAGTCAATGTATATTTATTTATTTTTTTTTAAATTATTATATATATTTTTTAAATATTATTATATTATTATATAAATATAAAGAAAGAATTGTTTCGATGTTACGAAATTAATTTTTACTAAAAATCAAAAATTGTTATTGAAGCAATGAATAAAATCTTATAAAGATTAGCAAAAAAATTAATTGTTCACGTTAAAATTTAATTAAGATTGGTTAATAATATATTGGTCGAAAATATTGGATTAAGTTTCAGAACGATTTATTAAAATCTTCGGCTTATAAATTATAAATTATTAACCTCGAACAAATCAACGTGTTTTTGAAATTCTTTAATTTTTCTACGACAATAGACTTCTTGGAATTTTCATCGATCGAATTGTCTTCATTGGGAGAATATTGTGAAGATTTGTCGTTGGGAGAGACAGAAGAGTTATTCGATTTAGGATTCTCATAGATTTGATATCTCTTTGAACAAGAACCGGCAATGTTTAATTGATTTTCCAATTTAGGTGACCAATACCACTTCCTGCAACATTTTGTCAGATTAAGCAATACAAATTTCTTGTTATTACATTTGAAGATTTTTTTTTTTAGTTTAACAAATTTGCCTAAAAATGTTATGAATAAACAGCAACTATTATGAAAATAATTAGATACATGCAATGTTTCTACGTGAATAGAAATTAATATTAATTTTGCCAAAAGCAAATATACTTATTATATATCTATAATAATTGCAAAAAATAATAGTAATAGTCAATTTGATACGATTTGATAATTCTAGTTAAGACTTTGTCTTATCTGTTTTATAATACGTACAAAGATAATATAAACAATATAACGTGTAATTTAACTCTCAGTCACACTTATTTCGTGCTTGTACGCTTGTTACGATGAATCAGAGTTAATGATTGATTGAAGATTATGATTAATGTGAAATCGTATGATTATTAAATAATTAAATAATCAGTAATAATTGTATTAATAAGATAAATAAGAGAAATAATCAAAGTTATAATCATAACAATGGTCATGATTAATTCAATAATCACGAAATAATTACACTTTTGATAATGATTGAATCGACAATTCTGTGAATATTTTTTTAAGACATGTTTTTTGTTTACATTACAGTTTTAAGAATAATTACTTTGAATGATAAATTATCTCGAGTGTATCTATAATTAGTTTTTATATATATTGTTTTATATAATATAGCCTTCATTTCAAACATTTTATATAATAATTTATGCTTTTGAATGTTTCGTACGTATATCATTATATATGAGAATAATCTATCGATAACATAATAATATGATAATATGATAGCATTATATAAAAGAAAAATTATTTTTATCAATTATTGGTCGAAAATATTTAAATTTTATTATTGCAAAATATTTTGAAATATGCTTTGAACATTATAATAAATATATATTCTAATTGAAGTAACTAATCGAATCCTGTGTTATACCATTCTAACTAACAATCAAAGTTTAATATGATATTCCAATTCTATGATTATTCTTCCATTCTTTTTATATTTTTTGGTAATCTTAATTTAATTACAAAATAAACTAGTTTTATTATTTTTTCGAAAATATAGATATAAAATTTTCTTGTACAAGTTTAATGTCAAATTAATTCAAAAAACTAATGAAGATTTATAGACTTGTTAACAAAATCTAATTGCTTAATGATTGAATAAGTACTTACGGTATTACCTGTTTCGATTGTGAGGTAATATTATTTTTAAGATTTGTTGTTCCTGTTCTCTCTCTTGCACAATCTGTTTCGACCTCTTATCTTCGTTCGAATCGATAAAATGTTTATTCTCATTATCAGATGCATTTCTATTTAAAGTTTCTTCTTTAAATATGAAGCGCGCCAAAGTTGATTCGTTGTCCGTTGATTTATTTCTATCTAAAAAATTAATCTTGCTTTTTTTTTCCTCATCGAATAAATCAATATTTCACGACTTTTTAATAATATTTTTACAAATGATCATTGATTTTTTTTATTAAATATCGAAATATTTTTGTTAAATATCAAATTTTAATTTTTTTCTAATAATAAAGAGGATTTTCTTTTTTGATTCGTTAATATTTTTTAGATCACGATATAATCACAAATAATTATTTTAAAAAAAATGATTTATTAATTTCTTTCCCTTATTTGTTAATATTATTATTAATTTTGGTTCCAATATTATTAATTTTTCCATTAATTTACGAGAGATTACAAGTTATAAATCATAGAATTTAATTATATAAACAATTTTTATAATTTTAATATTATCTAAATCTTCTCTCATAATTTTATACATAATAATGAACAATTAAAAATAATGACCAAGCTGATAACATTATCGATTTCTAATTGACATATTATATAGAAATAATCCTTAAATCATGTATTATGAACAAATTCATAATAAAAAATATTTTGCATAATTATAAATCAATTAATTAAAAATAATAAATTATAACATTGATTTTAATGATAATAACATTTTGGATTTGATTTGTATCTCATTTTTTTTTTTTTTTTTTT